CAACTGTACAACAACCTATACTGTATGGTCTAAAGATGAAAAATCATGTTCCATTTTGGCTTGTATAAAACTTTGTGGCTAACTTTAAAAATTACAGAATGGTTAAGTCTGTGCATTGATATGTGCCGTGTAACCTAATTTTTAAGCATTAAAATGTCACAGATATCTGGGGGTAGTGGGGAGAAGTATATGCAGCTATGTATAGAATATTGTAAACCCTAATAGAAAGATCAGTTTTCTTTTCTTGCCATTGGTCAAATTTGACTTCATCTGTTTTTATCACTAGGTGTTTCTGATATCCCACAACCAGTTTCTCCTATCCTTGAGTTACTCTTTCATGTATTTTTTGATCCTGCCCCTTTCTCTTTTTCATTTTCCCATCTCTTCTGCCCCCTGGCTATGTGGTCTACTGGCTGGATTGCGGTAGTTGGATTGCAGCTGATTAGATGACCCTGCTGGTTTTTGAGAATGAAGAGTACAGGGCAAAGGAGGGAAAGTTTTAAATGTTTACATCGTAGGAGAATAGTCATGTAAAGATCAGAGTGCTTTCAAGCTGCAGTTTGTGCTTTTTAACTTAAGAGATATGGGTCTTCAGATTAAGAATTCTTTACAGTATTATAGTTTAAAACGTTGGCTCTGATAATAGTTGACTGAGTTTGTAATCCTGGCTTTACAGTTGACTTGCACTTTGACCTTCAGGCAAATTTTTCATCCAAAAAAAGTGGAAATTAATATAGCACCATTATGTGTATAATATAAAGGACTTAAACAGTGCCTGGTAGACAGCAAATGGCCAATGCATGTTAGCTGTTATCTTTTATTTTACATTCATTAGACACAGTTTTCTCTTTGTCACTGTTATGTTTTATCTAAAGTACAGATGTCAGGAAAGTAGCATTCAGAGTTTCCTTGTTTGTTGAGGGTTTTCTTTTCTTTCTTTCTTTCTTTCTTTCTTTTTTTTTTTTTTTTTTTTGACAGAGTCTCGCTGTATTGCCCAGGCTAGAGTGTGATCTTGGCTCACTACAACCTCCACCTTCTGGGTTCAAGCGATTCTAAATAAGCAATACTCATGCCTCAGCCTCCCAAGTAGCTGAGATTATAGGCATCTGCTGCCACATCCTGCTGATTTTCGTATTTTTAGTAGAGACAGAGTTTCACCATGTTGGCTAGGCTGGTCTCTAACTCCTGACCTCAAGTGATCTACCCACCTCAGCCTTGCAAAGTACTAGGATTACAGGTGTGAGCCACTGTGCCTGGCCTGTTGAGGTATTTAGATCAGGATGGTAAACAGAAGATTTGCTACCAGAGTTAATGATGACCAGTGGGACATACAAGTAAATCTTTATGGAGAATATAGAGACTATGAGATAACTACTGTGGAATCCGTTAGTTATAAGGAACCAGAGGGGCAGAGCTTAAGATAATTGGGAAGTTTAACATGTTATTAAACCCAAAATGGTCAGCAAGACTGATAGCTGCTTCTCAGTTATCTGAGGTTTTTCTTTTTTTGCAAAAATCCTTTTTAGCCAGCATGACTTATCTCTTAGATGAGAGAAAAAGAGTAAAAAAGACAAAATGTATAGTTACTCTTTTAAAAATAGAGTTGGAAGCGTAGTTTTGGAAGAAGGTGTCTCACATGAGCAAATTTTCTAGACAAGTGAAGTTTGACTCTTTTAAGTATCAAAACTTGCTTTTATAATTTCTTGAGTTTTTTCTAAAATTGAACAATGCATTTATGTCATGTTTATTGAGTACATCACATGTGCCAGAAACTCTATTGGGTACTTTACATTATCTTGATTTTTGCATATAAAATGTATCGTGTTCTGGCTTTTAAACAGGATACAATGATTCTAATTTAATCTTTTCTTGGAAGACTAATTGTTAAGCCCTTAGGCAACTCTGTGCTTGGATTTTTTGACTTTTACATTTTGATCATATTAATCCCTAGAAGTTCTTGACTTTTTCCGCCTAGTTGAGGAAAGGGAAACTGATTGTTAATTGATTACTTATTATATGTTCTAGGTACTTTCACATACATTTCATTTCAATCTAACAGAAACATGTAAAATAATTATTCTTATACCCATTTTATAGATGAAACAACTGAACCACAGAGAGGTTGAGTATATTGCAGTGGAGTCACACTGCTGAGTCAGGAGAGGAACTGAGATTGGAGTATGAACCCATCTGACTCTAGGTCCAGTGTTCTTTCTGTACTGACATCACTGAAGAAATAGACATGTTAAAAGTAGGTTCATAGAGCATGACCCTTCCTCATACTGTCTCTCCCCTTTCTAATTCTTTCCCATTACTCTAAAAGCAGGGTTTTCATCTCTAATTAATTTAACTATTCATCACCTGTGCTAGATGCAAGTCAAAGAGACTAGAAGTTAGAAAAAGGATGGAGCTTCCAAACCTGTTGGGTAAGAAGCTGGCCCATGAAATGACCCAGAATTTTCCCAAAGTAAATGGAAACTCTTTAACTTTGTTAGAGTTAACTTATAGTCACAAGTAATTTTGTATGCTTAATACCAGCTATAGACTAAGGAATTTATCAGAAGTATTAAAGTAAATGAGCTCTTTTTTTCATAGCAAGTCTTCAAAGTTCAGTGAGGGTAAATCCACCCTCCCATAAAAGCAGCGAAAAGCACTGGCAAAGATAGCAAAAATCAACTTTTTCAGAACTCCTTAAATTAGCCAAAGGCTTCCAACAGTTTGAGAAGTGTTTATTCAAGAAAATCTGCTGAATCTTATTAGGAACAGCAGGGTTTGTGGGATTGTAACTTGAACTACTCCCATTTCCTCTCCTCAACTCTGCAGCAGCCTTGAAAACCAGCAGTCTTACAAACACGGTACTTGTAAAAACCAGCAGCCTTTACCACTGGATAGGATAGGCCGGGATGGAAGATCCTTAAGAAGTCCCATTCCCAGAGCATTGTCCCTATTTGACTTTTCTCACAGCTCCTTGTAAAAGTCTCATTTGCCGGGCATGGTTGTTATTTGACCTACCTTGGTGCTTAGAGCTTGCTCTGTGGGAACAGCCCTATCTTCAGGGTATTTGTCAAAAACAGTCAGTGACAATCATTTAACATTGTAGCTTCTGAGGGGTCAATACCAGTTGTGCAGATAAAAACCTGGCCAAAACCTTAAGGGTAAGATATGAGGAACAGGATGTCCATAAGAGACTTTAAAAAACTCTGACATATTCCTAGGGGATTAAAAGGCTGTACACATATGCCCGGCTATGTGCATGCTCAGAAGGACCTGAGAGGGCCTCAGTCAGTGTCTTGCCTCTGACTGACCATGAGGTCCTGAGAAAGCAATAAATACAAGCTAAGGCAGAAGATTAAAGTGCCCAAGTGTTGAAGGCATGCCTCAACATACATACAAAGCACCCCTCAGCAAAGATGGGATCACTTACTGGTTCACAGCATCAGCTGGCTAATGAAACAGAGACATCAGTGGCTGTACACTTCAAGAAATACAGACTTTACAGAATTAGTCCAGAAAAGTCACTGAACAAACAAACAGCAACAACAGCAGTGACTATAAAAAACAGCAACAACAAGTCCTGGGGAGTTGGGAGAGGAGAGTCTGATTTCCAGAATTGCCACATTTATTATTATCTGAAGTGCTCAGTTTTTTTTTTAACGAAAAGTATGAGACATACCAACACAAACAAGAAAGTATGACCCATACATAAAAGGGAAAGTAGTCAATGTGTCTGAGGGGCTGAGATGTTGGATTTATTCTACAAAAATTTCATTCAGCTACTATCAACATAGTCCAAGAACTAAAGAAAATGATGTCTAAAGAAAGAAAGTATGACAATGAAGTTTTACCAAATAGAGAATATCAAGAGAGAGAGAGAAATTGTAAAAGAATCTAAATTCTGGATTTGAAGAGTGCAATAGCAAATAAGAAATTTACTAGTTAGTTCACTAGCAGTTTTGAGCTGGCAGAGGAAAGAATTAGAAAACTTGAAGATAGGTCAATTGAGAGTATCCAGGGTGAGGAACAGAAAGAAAAAGAATAAAGAAAACTGAACCTGAACATAGTCTCAGAGACCTATAGGACATCATCAAACCTACTATTATATGCATTATGGGAATCCCAGATGAGAAGAGAAGGGTGGGAGAGGAATAGTTGAAGAAGTAATAGCCAAATACTTCCTAAATTTGATTTTAAAAATATTTGTCTGGACAACTAATGAATGTAGCAAACTCTAAACAGGATAAAGTCAAGGAAATCCATACCTACATATGTCACAGTCAAACTGTGAAAAGACAAAGAGAATCTTTAAAGCAGTAAGAGAAAAATGTCTCATCAAATAAAAGGGATCCTCAATAAAATTAACAGCTGACTTCTCATTAGAAGCCATGGTGGCTGGAAGTGAGTGGGATGACATATTTAAGGTACCGAAATAAAGAGATTCTCAACAAAGAATTCTCTTGTCAGAATTACCTTTCAAAAATTGAGGAAGAAACCAAGACATTCTCAGATAAAGGAAAACAGAATGTGTCACTAGCAGACCTACGCCACAAAAATTAGGGAGTCCTTCAGATTAAAAGGAAAAGATACTAGATGATAACTTGAATCTATATGAAGAATAAAGAACACTAATAAAGATAAATACAGAAATAGATATAAAAGCACAAATGTATTTTTGTGACTCTTCTCTCTAGCAGCTAACTACATAAAGCAATCATGATAAACTGTGTTAATGGGTTTATAGTGTATAAAGATGTAATTTGTATGACAGTAGAACAAAGAAGGCGAAGAAAAGGAATCTGTGCAGAAAGCTTACTAAATACTCTTGAAACTAAGATAATATTAATCTGAACTACATTGTGAGTTAAGATACTAATTGCAATTCCCAGAATTACCACTAAGAAAATAACTCCTTTAAATAAAAGAAACAAGGTATCCAAAATAGTACCCTAGAAAATGTCTATTTAACTCAAACTAAGACAGTAATATTGACTGTTTATTTTCAGAATATTTAAAAGATGCTTCAAAGAAGATGAAAAGTGGGCTTATGTTTGTAAAACTGGTTAACCCGTGTTCAGGTAAGTGCTCGTCTCATAACTTGAATGTTCTTAAATGTTGTGACTAATAAGTGTACACACATATGTCTTTGTATCATTGCTCTTTCTGAATAGCTTATAAAGTTAAGCTAAGCTCTGTGAGGAGAAGAAAGCAAGCTGATGGCATTACTAATCTTTCCAGGTAATTCATTTGACCTAAACATTAAAAAAAAATTTCTTCTTGTAATTTTAATTCACAGAACTGTTCAGCCATCAGAAATATTGGCAAAATTAAAAAGTTGCATGTTTGAGTTCTCCCTGAAAACAGATGAATGTTCTTTGGCTTTCTTAAGCCAACTTTTTTTAGTGTAGTTATTCAACATTAGCCTCCATTTATATTCATTTTATCTCATACAGTAAAATAAACAGAAAAAAAAGCAAAAACAGAAGGCTTTCACTTGGCATGCCAAGATTTTGATTGATTTCAGTTTTAGCTATACTTTCCTTTTTCGTTCTGACCAAAATAGTACATTTTTTTTTCTGTCAGGGAATTTTTTTTTAATTATAAGCATTGTATATTGAAGACATTCATATTTTATTGAAAAACAATTTTATTTTAACTTTATATTCAGTGCATTTTCAGTTTTGTCTTCACATTTTTTAGGCAAAAATATTAAAATATATTCTAAATATGGAGTAATATGGTTGGTAGTGTTTACCTCTCTGTGTAACTGTTTTTCCATTAACATATAAGGTTTTGCGTAGACACTTGATACTTGGCATATTAGAGGTTTCTCCTGGTGACAGTAATACTGAATAGTTAAAGTAAGGGAGGGCCAAGGGGTAATGCCTTGTTATAGAGACATGTAAATAAAAGCAGCAAGAGAAGAAACAAATTCCTGACTTGAGCAGTGTTCTTTTCTTCCAAATGAAATTGGCTGTAATGATCAGCTATGTTTAGAATTCTTATTTATATGTCAGACTAAGTTGAGGTGAGAAATATTTCTTCAAAAGAAGTTTTAGGTAGCAGAAAAGGTCTAAAGTATTTAACAAAAGTACAGGTACAGAGGAAAGCCAGTCCTCTTCTAAAATGTCTTGTTTTATCTAAATGCTCATAGACAACAGAAGAACAAATGTTTGTATTTGTTTTATTGGCAGTAGAAAAGTAAGGCTAACATTTGCTGACTTCTCACCATGTGCCAAGTATTGGTTTAGGAAATTTTACATGTGTTCTTTTTGTAATCCTTAAGAAAACTCTAGGAGGAGGTTCAGTATTGTCCCCATTTTACAGATGTGGAAACAGAGGCACAGGAAGGTTTATGAACTTCCCCAAGGACACATGCCCAGCATAGGGTGGAGATAGTTAACTCAGCATCCTTCTCTCCAGAGATTGTGCTATGGTTAGAAAAAAATTTTTTTCATTAGTTGAAGGGATAAAACATGCAGACGTGCACAGGCTTAACTCCCTCCTGCCTCCTTCCTTTTTTGCGGGGAGGGAATTGAGAAAGAAAAGGAAAAATTCATCCAGTTGAGTGAAGCTTTACTTACTCCCTATGGCTTCAAGCATGTCTGTCTTTCTCACTTAGGGTTGGCCTGTGGGTCCATGGGCTTGGTTGCTGCCTTAGACCTTGTGTGCGGAGAGCCACACGCTGCCCAGAGGCAGGGACCCACGTGCCAGCTCATGTCATGTGGCTGAACCATTGTGTTTTGATAGTTTAAGAATGGGTTTTCCCTCTTGATCTGATGGAGGATTTGAGGACAGGCTTTGTAGCAGTTAAGATAAATGACTTGTACTTTCTCATTTTTTGGTTTAAGTTCAGTGAGGATTATGGAGCTGGAAAATTACCATCTATGTATAATAGCTAAAGCTTTCCTTGGAATCAGTTTGTGTAGTATAGACCTGTGTATGTTTATGTTCATATTATGAACATTTCTCAGAACTATTGGATAGTCTTTTGGGGGTATGTGTGTGTGTTTGTAAACTTACAAATAAAAGACAGATTTGTCTTAACAGGAGAAGGAGCCATTTACTTGTTCAGTATGTGTCTACAGCAGCTGTTTGAAGTAAAACTTTTCAAGGAAAAACACCATTCTTGGTTTATAAATCAATCAGTTCAATCAGGTATGTGACTACTGCAAATATTTCCAATAACTAAGTATATACTCCAGCTTCTCCATTCTTCACACCTAGGGTTGTGGATCTGTCAGGGGTTTGGAGTCTAGTCACTGGTTTAGCCTTCCTTGGCATCAGAGCAGGCTTAATCAAGGAGAACAGCAGCATCATTTGAGCGCTGAGGTTAGGTCACCTGTGTGTCTTAGACAGTAGGAAATTTTAAACTAGCAACTCTGCTTTGTCTCCTAAAACAACCACACATCCTGAGTTAGAAGTTAGATTTGTATGTGGGCTGCATATTGTGTTGATTGGAAACTCTTTTGAGGACCTTTGTGTTTTTAACATGTGATTTCCTTGAAACTGGATACTGATGCAGCTTCTAACATAGGCTACAACATAACAAAGTGTCTTTAAAGTTCCACCAAAGTTTCTTGTGGTGTTCCCTTAATTTGGGGGCAGTGCTGACTAGGAGGAGAGTAGGCCAACAGAACTGTTCTTCCTCATGTTCTGGGGATTGCTGGGGTTGGGGGCAGTCAGTGGGTATTCAAAGCATCCTGCATCCCCCCGCCCACAGACCACAGAAGGGACTGTGTATAGGGAGAATGGCACTGCTTTCCCATGGCTTTGTCCTCAAAAGCACAGGAAATTATGTTTTACTGCAACTTTATAGATAGACTGACGGGTTTTCTAACATTGCCGTGTTCTCATTCTGTCTGTGCTTCCTCCTAACCCCTCTTTTTTTAGGGGGTTGGAAAGCTGTGTTAAAAGTGATTTCTAGAGAAGAAATGGAAAGTTAAAGATCCATTTCAGGGTCTTGGCTTTCCTCTCCACACAGGGATTTGAAGCTTTTTGGAGTAAAATCCCATAGAGCACATTCTGCCTTTGGAGAGAATCACACAGACTCTCTGGCCTGTATAAAAAGAGATTTGAATTTGGAATTTCACATGTATTTTTCAACACATGTTTTTCACTTTGAGATTGAGGTGAAATAACCATGTTGTATTTCCAAGATGTTTAATTCCCTTCGTCCTTTTTGTAATCTGCAGGAGGTCTTCTCCACTTTGCCACACCCATGGACCCTCTATTTCTGCTTCTCCACTACCTCATAAAGGCTGATAAGGAGGTGAGTTTCCAGTTTGGGGCATCCACACTGAGGAAACAGAATCAACTGTTTTTGCTTGATCTCCTCTCTCTTCTTTTAATGATCCAAAGGTGGATCCTACCTTCAGATCTAATGCTGTGACTGCAGAAAACATGAGTCATGTGGGCCAGTGCAGGACAGAGCCCTGCTGTGCAGACCAGAGAAGCAGTGCCTTACCCTTGATCTGGTCTGACCCTGGCTTGTTTGTGACCTCTGTCTTGCCTGACTCACTGTGCTGTGCACTTTACTGCTTGGCAAAGCCTAACAACGAACGCTCCTTTATCATTAAGTATTCCTTACACTTGAAATACAAAACAGGCATTTAAAAATTGATTACATGTCTTAGGAGAGGAAAAATTTATCTTTTTTAGTGAGAGACTGTGGAGTAGGTAAACTGAGGCAAGTCCAGTAGAAGCTCATTAATGGGGATGTGCTAGTTGAGACTTAAGAAATCCCAGGTGGATAAAATTTACCTTTGGAATAGAAATAAAGACAGAGCTCACTAATAGTGATCATTTTAACCAGAAGTTCTGTAATATTTTGGTCTCAGGATACATTTGCAGTTAAAATTATTAAGAATTCCAGAGAGCTTATGTTTCTGTGGGTTCTAGCAATACTCACTGTTAGAAATTAAAACTGAGAAAGTTAAAAATAATAAGGCTACTACGTGTTAACATAACACATTTTTATTGAAACAGATAACCAATTTAATGAGGCATGTGGCATTGTTTTACATTTTTGCAAATCTCTTTAGTGTTTGGCTTAACTAGAAGACGACTGGATTCTTATATCTGGTATCTTATGTCTGAGTCTGTTTCCATATGTTATTTTGGTGGGATTATATGAAGAATATGTGGCCTCATACATATTTGTAGTTAGAAAAGGAACAAGCAACGTTATAGCCTTTTTAGATTACTGTGGATATTCTTCTTTAATATTACCTAAAAAATCAATAAGTGGTATTTTTCTAAAGTTTAGCTGCGATGTGGAATCTGAAACTTTGTCAGTTAACTTTCTATGCTCTGTTACATTAAAATCCATTGGTCTATCTTACACTTAAAATGGATCCTTTTACTCACGTGTGATTTTGTAATATTATACTTTGGTCATCTGGAAAATATTGATTTGCTGAGTTACGCATATCTTCCAAATGTTGACACATCTCATTTTACACACACACACACACACACACACACACACACACACACACTTTTGTTAATATTACCACTGATCTCATCAGAAAGCTCTTTAGGTATTGAGAAGCTGTCATAGTCACAGATATTTTCTACAATTCTAAATTTTGCTTGAAAGCTCAAATTTTATTATTGGCTGCAAGTACTGTCAGTCTTTCCTTTGAAATGATAGGCTGACATCATTCACATTCTGACTAATACTGGGTTCTGAATCACCGCAATTCAGAGTGAATTTTTCAAATAAAAATGGTATCCATGAAAAAGCAGCTGGTTCTGCTTGCAACTCAGCCAGCCCCAGGACAACATGCTCTTCCTGGTTATCAGCTTACCTTTGGTTAAGCAGCCAAAGGCCTTTAGCCATACCTCACTTTCATCACAGAGAATTTACAAGACTTGTGTTCAAGGGTCAAGATTTAAGTAAAATGAATTGCTTTTACTGCTTGCTCAAGGATATTCTTAAGTGAAACTGGCATTTTTTAAACTGCACATAAATGGCGATAAGGATCCAAGTGATGACTAGGACAGTCTGGCGACACCACCAGACTCATGCTAAGGAGCCAGCAGTTTTCCCCACCATTGCATTTGAATCATCAGTGCAGATATCCACGCAGTGAAAACGCAGATTACATCTTAGCAGTATTAGGAAAATAGCTTTGAGCTTGGGTACCTCATGACCCAGGGATCCATCAACCATAGTTGGAAAATCTTTTAATTCACAACTTACAGTAGTGTTACTCAGACTGCTTAGAAGAATCTGGTTTTTTTTTGGACTCTTAAGTTTGGATAAAGTTTGAACACTTATAAATTTCTCATACTTAACCCTTAGACCAAATTCCTGAAACTTCCATTTGGTAGGGAAGTTAAGTTGCAAAATAAATGCTGAAAGTCATAAAGCATCAATGCATGCTTTGTCTTGCTGCAGCTTAGCCTCTTTTAGTCTCCTCCTTCCCTGCCCTCTGCCTTTCACTGTGGATCAATGAAGTTTTCTCTCTTTGTTTAATCACGTGTACCTTATCTGGCAGCTATTGTGATGGCCAGTATAACAAGAGCACACAAGCTGTGAGGCTGGTAAGCCATGTGTCTTTAAGGAACAGAAATGGTCCTATTCTCCAGGAGAAAGGCCCTGGGGAATATTCAGGGAGGAATTCGAAAGCCTCATTGGCTCACCTATGTGATGTTTTCTAGGATAAATTAATGAGGAGAAGGATACCAGCCATCCTCAGCACATGCATTGATGTGCATTTAAGACCCCCCCATCCTCTTTTAAATAGCACTTTTTCCACCTCCCATTAAGACCATGACTCTGGGGCATTAACCCTATCCTGGCACTCTGGGTGCCTCCAGGGTCCTATGGCGAGCTCACGTTGACAGGTGCAGAATGAAGCAGAAATGCTATTCAGGGTGGCCGTTGGCTTTCATTTTACACCATCATGTTTCCCAAACACATCTTCCCAAGTGCCAAAAATGCCCTTCAAAGTAACACTTGAGATGTTCAGCTATTTCCTTCTCTGCATTAGACATGTTCATTTCCTATTTAGTTAAAAATTATTGGTACACACTTTTGACACGTGACCTGTTCTTTTAAAATTTATTTTAATATCAGTAAAAATAACTCTTTTTTTTTTCCCTAGATATTCCACTGCTACTAGCTTTATAGTAAAGGCAGGTTGCTTATTGCATTTCCTGCTAGGTATGTACAGTAAATAAAAATAAGAATGAAGCACTAATTATGAAATTATTTTATATCATGACTGTGTGCTAGTCCATTACATATAACTACTGTTTTAAAGTAATCAAATACTTAACATATTGATTGATCATGGAAGAGTATAGATTTAACATAGAAAATCTAAAGACAATAAGACTTAGGAAAAATCTGGGCATTCTTATTATTTGAAGGAATAAGAACATTTAAATTGAGACATTTCATGGCACTAGTTAACCTAAGAGAAAGTATGGCAAGCTATCCACATGTGCTCCCAAATGACTGAGAAGATTTTACCCTTAAAGCCCAAGAAAGCTGCATTTGCAAAAATTGATCAAATGCCATTTTTGTGTCTCCAGGTGAAGTTGTCAGTATCCGAGAGGTAGAGCGAGCTGGAAGTGGGCATGGGCAAGGCCATACATCTGGTACCGTCTGGTGTCCCCAAATCGGGGCTAATGCCTTAATTTAGACAAACTTCACCTTGCTACTAGTACAGTTAAGAAAAACTAGACCTAATTCCGAACACTGATGTTCTGAAGCCATATGGCCCACTGGCAACCAGGCCATATACACTTCTCTGGCTGAGCCTGATTTAGCCTGTCTGCAGCTGCCCAGGACTTCTCCCTCTGGCTGTCTTTTCTTTTATTCTGGTCTAGGTTTGGAATCGTAGTCAGGCAGCTCTGACGGGGATAGATTCACTTTTGTTATTTTTCTCTTTGTGGTGGATGCTTCTTTCATCAACCCTAGAGTGAGGATGGGGAGGCAGATGTATAGTCTGGACTTGTTCCAATGTGATAGTCGGGACTCTTGCTCTGTGACCAAAGCTGGTTCTCCAAATTGAATGGGTTGGACTAGCCCCATGCAGTCTCCACCATCTTTGCAAGCTTCTGTGGCTTCCAGTGCTTTTGCGATTGTTTTGTTCCCTGTTTCATTTGGGGACTGTACACCCGAGGTAGATGGTGTGCTGCCTGGGACCCCAGTGCTCACAGGAGCCTCCTAAAGGGAGCCTGGGTCCATCCTAGAGTCTGTCCCAGTGTCGGGATTCTGTAGATGGAATAGGCGGCTCTGCACTAAGTTTAAAGGCCCAGCCATAAGGTAGTGTATCTTTTTCTTTTTTTTTTTTCTGTATGTCTTTGTTGAATGAAATGCTTGCTTTCCAACTAACTGAAGTGTTTTTTCAGGGGAAGTTTCAGCCCCTTGACCAAGTTGTGGTAGATAACGTGTTTCCAAATTGCATCTTGTTGCTGAAACTTCCTGGACTTGAGAAGTTACTTCACCATGTGACAGAGGAAAAAGGTATGGTATAACTTAAAGGCTTTTATGGCTGGTAGAAAGGATAGGCCTCGCCTAAGAATGTGGCTGCCTACAGGCGCACTGAGTGTAAGGCTTATTCTGTGTCGGCCGTAAGGAAACCTGTCATTCGGATTTGCTAACACTGCCAGCACTGTTCCTCTATTGCTTTGGAGTTTTAGTCTTTGGAACTACAGCCATGGCAGTCTGTGCCTGTGTCCCACAGGATAGGAATCACAAGGTGTGGCTTCACTCTTGCTGCTTCTTTGAACTAGTTCTGTGACATCAGGCAAGTCACTCAGCTGACTTCTGCCTCAGATTTCTCATTGTAAAATTACATAAAACCTGTACCTTAATAGATGGAAGTATTTATTGAGCACCTACCAAAAAGAGTATGTTGCACATTAGTGCTAAGCTCTAGATACTTATAAATAAGACGTTGTCCTTTTCTTCACTTTGTGCTCAGGCTGATGGGAGTCAGTGACGAGCTGAGCAATGACCGCACTTAATAATTTTAAGTGTTAATGTATCCTGAGACCAAAATATTACAGAACTTCTGGTTAAAATGATCACTATTAGTGAGCTCTGTCTTTATTTCTATTCCAAAGGTAAATTTTATCCATCTGGGATTTCTTAAGTCTCAACCAGCACATCCTCATTAATGAGTTTCTACTGGACCTGCCTCAGAGACCTACTCTACAGTCTCTCACTAAAAAAGATAAATTTTTCCTCTCCTAAGACATGTAATCAATTTTTAAATGCCTGTTTTGTATTTCAAGTGTAAGGAATACTTAACGATAAAGGAGTGTTCGTTGTTAGGCTTTGCCAAGCAGTAAAGTGCACAGCACAGTGAGTCAGGCAAGACAGAGGTCACAAGCAAGCCAGGGGCAGACCGGATCAAGGGTAAGGCACTGCTTCTCTGGCCTGCACAGCAGGGCTCTGTCCTGCACTGGCCCACATGACTCATGTTTTCTGCAGTCACAGCATTAGATCTGAAGGTAGGATCCACCTTTTGATCATTAAAAGAAGAGAGAGGATGGGTGGGGTTTCTAATCTGGTGGGGTTGGGTGGGAAGTGCAGGTGGGTAGCTGTTGCGTTGCTTTCCTGGGGGAAATGACCTCTTTATGGAGTCCTGAAGGATAGTCAGAGAAGCAGTGTAACAGAGGCTCGAATGTATGGAAAAGTTTGTCAGGTTCAGGAAGTTCCAAGGAGTTCAGAGTATGGGATGCTGGGGAAGGATTTAGGTTGGTAAGGAATGAGGCAGGAATGCTGGGCACGGGGCCAGGTGATAAAGGGCCCTATGTGTGTTTGGACTTCGCTTAATGATATTGGAGTGTCTGTGAAGTTTTAAGCAGGGCAGTCTGCAGTGTGGAGGGTATATTGGAGAAGCCAGGTCCACCGAGTCTGCTGTAGTGATCCAGACTGGAGGTAATGGTGGCCTGATCTTAGGAGATACAACAAGAAGAAAGTAGCCATTTAGAGATGGACCCAACTGCTTCTGGTGGTTGGATGGTGGTCAAGGAGGTGGAGGAGACAAGAGTGACTTCTGGGTTTGTGCCTGACCCAGAGGATGTGTAGTTGTGGCATCCTGGAAGCAGGGAACATGGGCTGTAGAAGCAGGATAGGGTAATGAAGAGATGTGTGTTCACTGTCATTCATTTGACTTTTTAAGAGGGGAAAATAAGGCAGTGTGTATGTTTTTACAGGTTAGAAATACTATACAAACTGGGCATCAGTGTCTCAAAAAATTATCTAAGTAGTTTCAGGGTTAATATGGAAACAAAGTGTGGGAACCAGAACATCAGGCTGATGGTTGTGGCTGTTTGGGGTCATAGATGGTTTGGCCACAATGACGGTTCTTCTGGGACCAAGAAAGTGGTGAGTCCAGGAAGTGTAAGCTTACGGTGGGAAAGAGGAGAGCCTTATTGATTGCATTTTATGTTTAAGGAGTCCAGTAAATTCATACTTGGCCACACTTGGAGCTCCAGTTTGGAACTGAGGGATGTGTGGTGCTGAGGTTTTATCAAAGCAGTTCCATTAAAGACATTCCCTGATGTTGAGTTTGGCAGGAGACAGCAATCTTTTTATGGGTGACAAATGAAGTAGCCCGTAACCATTTTTAAAAGTTAAAGTAATGAAAAATAATTAAGCCATTTTAATTTTTGTCAACTTAACACAAACTGAAAATGCAGTTATCTCATATTAGGGCTATGTAAGAAAAATCATCTTAAAGCAAAACCCAGAAATGTGGATTTAGAAACAGTGTTAGTGCTTCAACATTTGTTTCCTTATAGTCTGCAGCTGAGAGCAAGAGCTTCTCTCTGTCTCATCCCCTCCCTCTTGACCATTTATTGGATCATCATCTGAACTTGTCTTAGTCTCCTTTTTTTTCTATATTGCCTAACTTTTGGTAGTTCTGCAGTTCCATTTTCAAAGTAGTTATGTTATTAGCCTTTATATTTGCCAAATTTCTAAAACTGTAGGCCACAATTTTTTTCTTTATTTTTAAGTGGTGGGCAAAACATAAAATACTTAAGAATAAATTTCACACAGTGAAAGATGTATTCAGTCTCTAGAGGTCTGGCAGTTTCTTTTTATCAAATTCTTCCCTTAATAAACTGCAGCCTGTGAATCTCAAAGTAATGGAAGGTTTAAAAACAGAACCAAAAAGGTTTTTATTTACTTACTTTATTTTTTTAAGACAAAGTCTTGCTCTGTCGCCCAGGCTACAATGCAGTGGTGCAATCATGGCTCCCTACAGCCTTGATCTTTTGGATTCGAGTAATTCTCCTACCCCTGTATCCTAAGTAGCTGAGACCACAGGTGCAAGTCACCACTCCTGGCTAATTTTTTCTTTTAGAGACAACAGGGTTTCTCTATGTTACCCAGGCTGGTCTTGAACTCCTGGGCTCAAGGGATCCTTCCACCTCAGCCTCCTAAAGTGCTGAGAGTACAGGTGTGAGTCACCATGCCCATTCTCAAAAAGATTCTTAAATGGGGAAAAAATAAGTAAGATTCTCAAATGCCTCATCCTCAAAAAGACCTTTTCATCAAGATATACATAAGCATTTTCACATTACTTGCTTTACCCCTTGACTCAAGACATAAATATGTGAAATATGTTTCTTTATGGAAGACCTGTGTAAAGGGACAGTGTACTAAGATAAACAGCTTTTTCCATGAAGATCCACAGGGATCAGCATTTGGAAGTTTACCACTGCCTTCGAGTCCGACAAGACAAGCGCAGTACATGTACTTCTACAGCGCAGACATTCTGTGCTTATTGGTTTACATAGATTACGTAGTACTTGTAGTAATTTCTTTCATTGTATATTAATAGCCTGCATTTTCACAAATGAGGAAACTGAGGCTCAAAGAGTTTAAGTAACTTGACTGACACTGTAGCACTTGAAGTGGTAGAACCAGGATTCGAATCCATGTCTGGCAGCAACTCTTTTCCCTTCCTTCTTATAGCTGTGTATGTAACACTTCCAAATGTTCTGTAAGGGTTTTGTTTTGTTTTGTTTTGTTTTGTTTTTGGTGAAGTTTCATGTAAAAACAAAAAGTTGACTCTCTTTTTTTTGAGATTGAGTATCACTTTGTTGCCCAGTCTGGAGTTCAGTGGTACAATCTTAGCTCACTGCAACCTCTGCCTCCTGGGCTCAAGTGATCCTCCCACCTCAACCTCTTGAGTAGCTGGGACTACAGGTGGGTGCCACCACGCCCAGCTAATTTTTGTATTTTTAATAGAGACAGTGTTTCATTATGTTGGCCAGGCTGGTCTCAAACTCCTGACTTGGCCAAGGTGCTGGCTTTACAGGCATGAGCCACTGCACCCAGCCAAAAACTTGACTCTTTTAAAATTTATTTTTATATTAAATTTTTTTAGAGACAGAGTCTCACTCTGTCACCCAGGCTGGAATGCAGGGGCATCATCACTGCTCATCGCATCTTTGAACTCCTGGGCTCAAGTGATCCTCTCCCCTCAGCCTTCAGAGTAGCTGGGACGACAGGTGTGTGCCGTGACACCCAACTAACTTTTTTTATCTTTAGCAGAGATGAGGTCTTGCTATGTCACCCAGGCCAATCTCCAGCTTCTGGGCTCAAGCAATCCTCCCACCTCACTTCCCGAACTGCTCGGATTATAGGCATGAGCCACACTATGCCTCACTTTGATTTTTCTTTTTTAATCTCGTATATCCCCTCTTAATGATTTCCCCTTGTGTGGCAAAAGGAGACAGGGAAGGAGACAGAAAAAACTTCCTAGCTTAAGGAAATGTCTATTCTCATCCCTCCAGGGAGCTTCCTAGAGCTTCTAGGCACTGGATGACCCCACAGGACTTCTTCTAGTAATTGTGTTGGGTCCTGGCTATTTATTTGAATTTGGATTATTGTCTATTTATAAATTAGTGTTTGCTTCCATTCTCTGTAATTTACTTCTAGATTTCTACATAAGAAAGATGACTACCAAAGAGTGATCAGTTACTATCCATGATGAGGATTAAAGGTGAAGAAGAAAGCTGATGTTTTTAACTTCCATTCTCTCCACAGGCAGTTGTGCAGATAGAGTAAAGCCTAAAATACTCAAATTCCCCAGCCAGCCTTTTCATATTAAACTCCAGACGCTTCTTAAACATCTATGGCATTTAAGACCTGGTTAAGGCTGCTAGGCCTGTGAGAACCTTCCCCCCTGATGAGTGAACCTAGCCACGGTTGTTTGTACCCTGAATGATGATGGCGGTGACCTTAGCCCTGCCTACTTTATTAGCGAAGGAAATGATGTGTCTCTGTTTGCTAGCTGTGGGGCTCAGAGCAGGGTTCTTGCCAAAGAAGTGCACATTCGGTGGAGAGATGGCACGGGAAAGGACTAATGAAGGGTCACGAACTTTATCTTGAATGTAACACTGTTTCATATTGCCAGCCAAAGCTGCAGTGCACTGTCTGAGGTGATTAACAGGGAGAGCCAGGAAAACTTACCTGATTAAAAAATACCCCAAGTACAATTGCCAAGTTTCTTTCCCCAGGAGGCAGAGGAAGAAAGCGATCATAAGAGTTTCTCAGTTATGGAAAACATTGAGAAAGTAGAAGTGAAAATGTGCTTGAGGCAGTTCAACAATACCTCAGGGAAATTCAAGTTTGTGAGCTGATTACCCAATTGCTGAACATGTGACTTAACTGTGGACTCACTTTTATTCCATCTTTATTTTGTCAACCCAGTCTTTCCAGATGTTTGAAACCAGTTTTATGGGCACCAGGCACATAAGGGAAAAACACCTTTCCAGCATATGCATGTGTTATCAAACTCACTAAGTCTCACAAATATTAAATTTAGGACACAAAGGAATGTGCGATGGTATTTTTTATAATTATGGATAGTCCTTGGCCTTCATGAATATTTTAAACCTCCTTGTTTTTCAAAATTTGTAAATTTCAAAATTAAGCAGTAATTTATACACTGGGTCCTGGTGTAGCCTTCTGGGCAATAGTAATCATCTTGTCAGGGAGTGTTAACTCAGAAATAAATTTATAATTTAAAAACTTTCTAGGAAGAAACCTCCAGACCCAACTAGCTTCACTAATAAATTCTACTATAAGGAAGAAATGATAGTCAGAGAAATGACATTTGCTCAAACTCTTTCAGAAAATAGATGAGGAAGGAATGTTTCCCAGCTAATTTTATGCCACTAGAATTGCCCCAGTACCAAATCAAAATTATTACTATAAAAACTAGGCTATTATCCCTTATGATTATAGACTGAAAAATTCTTAACAATATTGGAAAATCAAATATCTAAAAATTAAATATATAAAACTCATTCTGACCATTCAATGAGAAAATGTATATAATGTACCTAACACAGACCTGAATAAACATTTGTTTCTTATGTTTTGTTAACAAATCATCCTTTTTATCTTTTTATCATGTTATCTTAGCTAATGTTATATATTTGCTAAGTGACAGGTATTGTGCTATAGGATTTGTGTGGATTGTCACAGTTCATACTCAGAACAGGCCGGTGAGAAAAAGCCTCTCTTTACACTTGGGGAAACAGACTTTGAGAGCGAGGTGGCTTCCCAAAGAGACAGCATGTGCTGGGGTATGCAGGAGCCCTGGTAGCGTGGCTCTATGCTCTCTTCCCATTAGAGAACATTTCCCAGAGGTAGAGGAAAAGCCTCCCCGGGGGGCTTAGAGAGTGGGACACAAAGAAAACAGCAGCAGATGGTAGACATTCTTTCAGAAAATTTGGAGGTAGAGGCAAGAAAGAAGTGAGATGCCAGGTCAGGATAGGATTTTCAGGAGAACCTTGAGCAGTGAGCTTTTTTTGGAATTTTTTTGCCTCAGGCAATGAACATGGCTTCTAAAAGCCATTCAAGAGCATGTATTTATTTAGTAATTTCTGTATGCTCTTGAAATTCCCCTGATTTGTACATAGGGGTGGGACATAGTCTCCGAGGAAATTGAGTTCAGTCTCATTGGCTTTGGTTTACAGTAGGCTGTTTGCCCACGTAATCCTGGCTCCAAAATAGTAGACATTGAACCTTGGAATTCTCACACTCCTGACAATGCTATTTGCACCTATCCCTCTTTTTTGTTACTGTAGTGACATGTCCTGAGGAGATGGCTGCAGATATCCAGCGCCCAATCCATCCTGCCTCATCTTACCCACAGCATTGACAACCATAGGCTGAAACAGGGAGGAAATTCACAGGAACTAAGGCCAGGGACCTCCCAACCCCTCTCTCATACGATTTAATGGACTGCAGAAAATGAGCCCTGAATGGGCAGTTTCCATTTCCCATCACAAGGTGGAAGCGAGAAAGAGCCTCATTCTATATAACTCACAGGTGGTGAATTCCCATCAGGTCCGAGGGTTACTAGTGGTCATAAAGATAAATCTTGCATGGACAGAGGAGGCTGGAGTGGCAGTGCTGCCCTTGCTAGTTACACAGAAAGAAGAAATCCCATGAATGAAAAGAGTTTCAGAGGAAAGCATGGTTTAATGACATGGTATATAAGGTTGGGTGGATTGTGAGGAGAGTAAGTATAATTTATAAAAGGTGAAACTTTTATCTCCATAAAGGGCCAGGTTGAGCCTACCTTAAATCGAAGTCTTCTAAAATAGCTATGATTATGTTGGTAATATGTTAAGAGATATGTCTTTTTTTTTTTTTTAATGCTCTCCTAATCCCACCAAGCCAGTACTAAGTAGTTAACAAGACTTTTTTCCTGAATATATTTGGTGAACTTCATAGGCATCTGCCTCTAGTTTCAATTTTCTTTATTGGGATTTTCTTTTGATTTTAGGGAAAAAAGTGTTTCATTGAAAACATTGAGGTGAGCTTAAAATGATTCACAATAGTTAAGACCGCTTAGTATGCTACTGTGAACACAAAATATCTGAGACAGGTCTCTGTCAATTTAGAAAGTGTATTTTGCCAAGGTTAAGGACACACCCATGACACAGCCTCAGGAAGTCCTGAGACAGGTGCCCAAGGTGATTGGGGATACAGTTTGCTTTTATACATTTTAGGGAGGCATGAGACATCAATCAATATGTGTAAGATGTACCTTGGTTTAGAAGGCAGAACAACTCAAAGTGGGAACCTCCACATTAGAAGTAGATAAGAGACAAAAGCTTGCATTCTTTTGAGTCCTTGATCAATCTTCCATTGAATACACAATTTAGTCTGGCTCAGTGAATCTGCATTTTTACATAAACAGTAGGGGAGAGGAAGCAATCAGATATGCATTTGTCTCTCAGGTGGGCCTCAGAGGGTTGACCGAATAGTATGAGAGGCAGGTTTGCCCTAAGCAGTTCCCAGCTTGATGTTTCCCTTCAGCTTAGTGATTTTGGGGTGCTGATGAAGCGGGACATTTTCCCTGACCCCTTTGCGGGCAGGAACTGGAGTGCACAGGCACTGGAACTAGCCAGCTGCTTCAGTGGCAGCAGGGGCAAACTCCACTCACTTGGTCCCACTGCATTCCACCCCTCACAGGAGCAGGAGTATAGGTGAGTGAGTGCAGGAGCTGGGGCGAGGGCTTCTGGGTGCCTCAGTGTGGCCCTGCGGCAGTGTCTAGGGGAGTGCCCATGACCCCTGAAGCCCCAGAAAGAGTGTTATAGTCAGTGCTCTTTTAGATTTGCCATTGGTGAACCTCTTAAGTGTAAATAGCTCAGTAGAGGGTCAGTGCGACAGCCTTTTCCGCCTGCACCTGAGCTCTTGTCCAGTGTCCAGGAGGAATGAGGTCATACAAACAAATCAAAGGGTGATAAATGTGAAGGATTTTATTGCCAATGATAGTGGCTATCAGCAGGAAGGGGAGCTAAAAAGGGGATGGAGCAGAAAGGTGATCTTCCCCCATCCCTGGCTGGACTCCTCTCTGAAGCAGTACCGTCAGGCTGTCCCTCTGAAGTCCAGCTGCTTCTGTCCAGTGTCCAGCCAGAGTCTCCAGCGTCCCACTGCTTATCCTCTTCTGTCTCTCTACTGGCAGAGCATAGGGTTTTTATGGGCTCAGGAAGCGGGGCAGGGTGGGCCATGGGTGGTTTTGGAAAAGGCAACATTCGAGTGGGAAAACAGGAATCTGTGTTCTCACTTTGGGCTGTGGTTCCAGGCTTGAGGGTGGGACCATTGCTGGGGACCAGCCCTTTTCTGCCCAGAATTTCCCTGCCTCCTGTCCCTATCACCAAGATTTGTTTTCCTTTCACACTTGTTTGCTGAGTTTTTAAAATTACCTTTTCTACAGAGTTGTTTGTATAATTTGAAGGTTTTCTTAAATTCTTACTCATTTAATGGTCGATGACTCCTGAGGTAGCCAAACTACTACTGACATTTAAAAAAATGTTTCAAGTATGTTCTCAGATTTATAAATTTTTTCAAGAATATCAACTTATGAAATATTTTTAAATTATTAACTTGTATATGATAAAACTTAGGAGTTTATTTTTTATATCATTGTGCTGAGTCTTTTTTTTTTTTCTTTTAATGTAATCCAGAAATAGACAACAAGAAATATTACAAGTACAGCAAAGAGAAGACATTAAAGTGGCTGGAAAAAAAGGTATAGTTCCTCTCTAGTGCCTTGTGGTAAAATAAAAAATTCAGTTCTCTAAGAAATTCTCACAGAAGGCAGTTAAGTCTGAATCCGGAGACCATCCTCTAGATTCAGTAAAAAGAGGAAAACTGTATAGAGATACCAAGTATTAGAAGAAGGCTTTGACTTTTTAATCCTCCCTAACTAGTGTATCTCGGGAGTTAACTTTATGTTTTCTTGGGACCTGCATCCTCGTTTCTCCGTGATCCTACTACAGAATGAAATAATGTGTTGCTATTTGTTGGTATAGATCTGAGTCTTCCAACTAAGACGATACCAGGCCTGGCACTTGTTGGCTGCTGTCAGTCCTGCAGGTGTCTCCAAGAGTGATGTCGCTCACACACAACCAGGCAAAGGGGCCCAGGGACACAGCCAGGCAAAGGTGTTCAGGTCTAGAGGAAGTGTGTCCCACTCTCAGGGTCTGGAGGCTGAGGAGGGGTCATCTTATAGGCAAACCCTGTATCTTAGTGATTCTAAGAATCTTGACCTAATGGAAGGACTGGGGCAGTGAGCTTCAAATCAATTTAGTAGGTCACAACTAGTATTTCTTTTGGAATGGAACAGATTGGGATGGGATGGATGGGATGGGATGGGATGGATGGGATGTATTAAAATACAGCAGAAGAAGGGCAAGTATTAAGTATGGCTCTATGAAACATTTATATATGTGTTTAAGTATTGGATTTCTATATATTTCTTACTATGGGTTGGGATTTTAAAAAAAAACTTTGAAAGCCACTGCTCTAAGGATAATATGAACTTCAGCATTAAGAATCTCACTAAACCAGATAGAATAATGATAAAGTTTTTACAGTATCAGTGGATACCAGTAGTTAAAGTACTGTTTCCTAAGATTCTCTTCCATCTTTTATGTGAAAAATTGTGTTTGTCCACATATTCTCACTCATAAGTGAGAGTTAATGAGAACACATGGACACAGGGAGGGGAACATCACACACTGGGGCCTGTCAAGAGCTGGGGGCAAGCGGAGGGAGAGCATTAGGACAAATATCTAATGCATGCAGGGCTTAAAACCTAGATGACCAGTTGAGGGGTGCAGCAAACCACCATGGCACATGTATACGCATGTAACAAACCTGCACATTGTGCACATGTATCCCAGAACTTGAAGTATAATAAATTTAAAAATAATAAAATTTTAAAAATAAATAAATAAATCATGTTTGTTTGTCATATCATGTTACCAGGCTCATTGGAAGCCTGAGGAGCTGGAAATGAGCCCAGTAGAATAATCAGGCTCCTAATTTGCAAAGTAGTGGCAAGATTTAAGAGTACCATGTTTGATTTCATTTACAGTATAATAGTAGTATTCCTATGGAGCAGAATCTTTGATGTGTACTTTTGCCCTTAGCAAAGGAAAATGGCATGAATAGCAAAGAGGAGTTTATACTTATTGATTGTATATCCTAAGAAGTGGGCAATTTATATTATTCTATTTAGAAAATTGTTACATATAAATTTTGTGTTTAAGGGCTTTACATACGTTAACTAATTTAATCTTCACAGTAGTCCTATGAGGTCGGTGCTATTTTTGTTACCATTTCACAGGTAGAGCTACAGAAAGGTTAAGTAACTAGCCATGTTGCAGAGCCAAGCCCAGCAGCCTGACTCCAGAATCAGAGCTCTCAGATTCCTAAAGTTAAGTTGAAAACACCCTGTTTTCTCCCTTGGTTGCTTCATAGGTTAATCAAACTATGGCAGCATTAAAAACCAACAGTGTAAATGTCAGTACCCGGGTACAGTCAACTGCATTTTTCTCTGGTGACCAAGTTTCCACTGACAAGGAAGGTAAGTAAAACATTTCATCAGAAATGATTTTTGTCTGGAGTAAGTTGCTTATGTGTAAATGCCTGTCTTAGGATTTACAAATCTTAATGTCACAGAAGCCTCATATTCCTGCCAATGCCTCATACACATTGTGGCAGGTGTGCATCTTATTTCAGAAGCAAAGAATATTTCTACCATAGGTTACTTCTGTCATTCACTGATACTTAAGTTATTTATTCAGCAAATATTTCTTTTACACTGATAGTAACCCTGGCTATCATTTATTGAGGGTGTATTGTGTGCCAGTCCCTTTGCTAAGTTGCCACTATACAAACATGATCTCATCCGACCCTCCCACTAAATTTCATTATGAGCATCTTGAGGCCCTGTCCCAAGACTCACAACTAGTAAATGGCAAAGCTGAGCTTGTCTCTCAAGCCCACGCTTGTAACCTTTTTGTGATACTGTTCCTGTGACCCAGTTGTACTGTTCCAGTGCGCTGCATCTGTTTGCAGTTTATTCTCAAGATGCATGTTTCTTGATACAGGGATGAATATATTTTGATTTTAGGTGAAAATTGATTTACTTTGCAATTTTTCTTTTAGGTTATTTTATAATCTTTTAAAGATACTTTTCCAAGTAGAGTCCTCTTTTTCTTTTTCTTGGAAAAAAAGAAAGAGAGAAAGAAAAAAAAGAATGAAAGGGAGAAAGAAAGAGGAAGAGAAAGAGGGAGAGAGAATGGGAGTCTTGCTTTGTTGCCCAGGCTAGAATGCAGTCTAAAAATAGGTATTGAAAACCTCTTCTATGCCAATAATTGTGTTTAACGATGGAGACAGGAAGGAATAAGGGAGGAAAATAACAAACAAGCTGCCAACCCATATTTCATTTAAACCTGTGAAATGCTATGCAATTACTGAGGAGTGATTTACTTCCAATTGTGTCGTCACTTTTAGAGTAGGTGTGATGTGGTACTCAGAAGAATGTATGTTTTGTGGATTTGGGGTGGAGAGTTCTGTAAATGTTTATTAAGTTTACTTGTTCCAGGTCTGAGTTCAAATCCTGGATATCCTTGTTAATTTTCTGTCTCATTATCTGTCTAATATTGACAATGGGGTGTTAAAATCTCCCACTATTATTGTGTGGGAGTCTAAGTCTCTTTATAAGTCATTAAGAACTTGCCTTATGTATCTGGGTGCTCGTGTATTGGGTGCTTATATATTTAGGATCATTAGCTCTTCTTGTTGCATTGATCCTTTTACCATTATGTAAAAGGATCTTTGCCTCTTTTGATCTTTGTTGCTTTAAAGTCTATTTTATCAGAGGTGAGAATTGCAACTCCTGCTTTTTATTTTTATTTTTTTGTTCTCCATTTGGTTGGTAAATCTTCCTCCATCCCATTGTTTTGAGTCTTTGTGTATCCTTGCATGTGAGATGGGTCTGGATGCAACATACCAATGGGTTTTGGCTTTTTATCCAATTTGCCTGTCTGTGTCTTTTGATTGGGGCATTTAGTTGATTTAAATTTAGGATTAATATTAATATATGTGAGTTTAATAGTGCCATTTGATGCTAGCTGGCTGTTTTGCCCATTAGTTGATGTAGATTCTTCATTATGTTGATGCTCTTTATTGTTTGGTGTATTTTTGGAAAGGCTGATACTGGTTGTTCCTTTCTATGTGTAGTGCTTCTTTCAGAAGCTCTTGTAAAGCAGGCCTGGTGGTGATAAAATCTCTGAGTACTTGCTTGTTCACAAAAGATGTTATTTTTCCTTCACGTATGAAGCTTAGTTTGGCTGGATATGAAATTCTGGGTTGAAAGTTCTTTTCTTTAAGGATGTTAAATATTGGCCCCCACTCTCTTCTGGCATGTAGGGTTTCTGCTGAGAGATCTGCTGTGAGTCTGATAGGCTTCCCTTTGTGGGTAACCTGACCTTTCTCTCTGGCTGCCCTTAGCATTTTCTCCTTCATTTCGACCCTGGTGAATCTGACAATTATGTGCCTTGGGGGTTGCTCTGCTTGAGGAATATCTTTGTGGTGTTCTCTGTATTGCCCGGAGTTGAATGTTATCCTGCCTTGCTAGGTTGGGAAAGTTTTCCTGAATAATATTCTGAAGAATATTTTTCAGCTTGGATTCATTCTCTTCATCACATTCAGGTACACCTATCAAACATAGATTAGGTCTTTTCACATAGTCCCATATTTCTTGAAGGCTTTGCTCATTCCTTTTTACCCTTTTTTCTCTAATCTTGTCTTCTCATTTTATTTCATTGAGTTGGTCTTTGACCTCTGATATCCTTTCTTCTGCTTGGTCAATTCGACTTAAAACTTGTGCGTACTTCACGAAGTTCTCATATTGTGTTTTTCAGCTCCATTAATTCACTTATATTCCTCTCTAAATTATCTATTCTCAGCATTTCATCAAACGTTTTTTTCAAGGTTCTTAGTTTCTTTGCATTGGGTTAGAATATGTTCTTTTAGCTCACAGAAGTTTCTTCTTATCCACCTTCTGAAGCCTGATTCTGACAATTCATCACACTCATTCTCTATCAGTCCTTGTTCCCTTGCTGATGAGGAGCTGTGATCCCCTGAAGGAGAGGCATTCTGATTTCGGGTGTTTTCAGCCTTTTTGCGCTAGTTTCTTCCCATCTTTATGGATTTATCCACCTGTCATCTTTGTAATTGCTGACTTTCAGATTGGGTCTCTGAGTGGATGTCCAGCTTGTTGGTGATGATGTTATTTCTGTTTCTTTGTTTTCCTTCGGCAGACATCTCTCCCCCACAGAGCTGGACCTTCCCGGGTTCAGCTGTGTTTGCTGTGAAACTCTCAACCATCAGCGTTTCCAATTGCTGTTTTTTTTGTGAGGGTGGGACCAACCAAGCCTGATCACCTGTCTCCCTGCCTCGGAACCCCGTTTTCTTCTTTTCCTAATTGAACGGTCGATTCTCTCCCAGGTGCCCGAGTCACCTGCCGAAAAGGCACCAGGAGCCGGGCGCGGTGGCTCAAGCCTGTAATCCCAGCACTTTGGGGGGCCGAGGCGGGTGGATCACGAGGTCGAGAGATTGAGACCATCCTGGTCAACATGGTGAAACCCCGTCTCAACTAAAAATACAAAAAAAACTAGCTGGGCGTGGTGGCGCGTGCCTGTAATCCCAGCTACTTAGGAGGCTAAGGCAGGAGAATTGCCTGAATCCAGGAGGCGGAGGTTGCGGTGAGCCGAGATCGCGCCATTGCACTCCAGCCTGGGTAACAAGAGCGAAACTCCGTCTCAAAAAAAAGAAAAAAAGAAAATGCACCAGGATCTATGCAATTCAATTTCCTGTGTGGCGACAGTGCTGGTTTAAACAGCGGCGCTGAGATTCGTGGCGCTTTTCTGCCCGGGAATCTCCTGGTCTGGCTCCCCGCTTCAGTCCCCTTTTCAATCAGCTGAATGGGCGACTCTGCCTTCCTGGAGCTCCAAACATCAAGTAAAAGGGCATCCAGTCCCACATACTCCGCACTGAGAACCGCGGCGCCGGGACACCGGCAAAACAGCCACGCCAGCCAAAAGAGTCGCGCTGGTGACCCGTGGGGCTCTTCTGCTGGGAATCTCCTGATCCATGGGCAACAAAAATTCATCTGGATGTCTGGCATGCACTCACTCTCTGTGCCTTCACTGGGAGCTGCAATCCTGAGGGGCTGCTAGTTGGCCATCTTGGATCTCTCTCGAGCCCTCTTATTTTTATATGTATAGTTGAATAAGAACAGCTATATAATGCAGTTAACATTTTCAAATGAGAGAGAAATTATTCTGACCTTAAACTCCAATTCATTGTTCCCTTGTTTAGGGTGTGCAGCTCTGAAACATATGGCTTTAGTCATTAAATAAATAAAAACTAAAATAGTGGCCTGTTGGTGATTGATAGTAATAATTCAGGCAATCTGATTTGCAGGAATCTACCTTGCATATATAGGTAGTTGGCTACAGCCATTCTGGGAGTGGTGGACAACACCTTTGCCATACTGAGTTACCAGCTGTCAGTGTCTTTAATTGGCTTTAACCATAGAAGATGAGGGATTGAGATAGATGATGAATGGATAGATAGGTGGGTAGATAGAGGCATGCAGATTCTGAGCTTAGCTGTATTGCCCTTTAGTGTCCCAGCCATAAAGTAAGCTTTTTGGCTTACTTTATGTAAATTTACATTACTTACTTAAAATGTATTTTACATTATTGGTTTGGTACCAGAAGAAGCAAATGAATTACATGTTGACTTTCTTAAAATAGTTTTCTTTGTCTAGTCATGACTCATTGGATGATGACTATCCCAGAACCATGAGCAATTTTAAGAAGGGCTAGATGATAACTTTCAGTTCCACTTTGACAATGAAAATCTCTTACCGATGACTTTTTGACATCAGGTGGTCACCAGACGGCAGTCATTTTCTATGTAATACTGAGGCAAATTGTCACCTTGACTTGAAGACAGAGGAGAATGGAAAAAAAGGAAGTGAATGAATATCCCAGCAGCAAACCTGGGGTCTGCTTTTAGTGGTTTATATCCCCACGTGGTTATCGCATCTTATGATTAAGTTTGATGATCTACTTGTATTCTACGTAAAATGCTGAATTCAGGAACAGAGTTCTGAACAGATTTTGTTGTCTTCTTAGGCCACTGTATTTCTAATTGCTGCCAGAAGTACATTTTAGTACTGAGAATACGGATGCTTTAGAATTAGTTGTTGAAGTTTTTTTTTTTTTCTCCCAAGTGTTTTATTAGTTTAAGAGTGTGTGTGTGTGTGTGTGTGTGTGTGTGTGTGTGTGTGTATATATATATATATATATATAGAGAGAGAGAGAGAGAGAGAGAGAGAGAGAGAGAACTACATATATGTAGTTCAGGGTTTTTATAAAGCAAATACCTAGTAGTAGAGACTTATGATATCATATTTCTCTTAAATGAGTATACTCATTACTGTTGAATAATTAGATTTATTCTTTATTAAAGCAGGCCTAGAGAAGATTACTCTTTTAAAAAAAAAAAAAAAGACATGACTATTTCATATTGTTACAGCTGATTTTTAAACTTTATTTGTATTCATTGATTTCAACTAAGAAAGCACCCTGAATTTTTTGTTTTTACTGTCATTTAATGAGCATCTACTGTATTACACTTGTATTATCTTATCTTTGTTATCATCCCATGTCATATCCAGCATATCTTCCCACTAATCTGACAAATAGATATTACTATCCCCATTTTACAAATGAGAAAACTGAGGCTAGAGCTTAAGTGCATTCACTTTATCCAGAAAGGGTCAGAATATGAACCCAGCTCAATTTGACTCTGAAACCACCATCATTACTATTTGTTTTTTAACTTTCACTCCTTCTTCTGTTTCTTACAGAGGATTACATTCGTTATGCCCATGGTCTGATATCTGATTACATCCCTAGAGAATTAAGTGATGACTTATCTAAATACTTAAAGTAAGTATTCATTATCTTCAGTCATAATGAAGTACCTTTTTGCTTCTTGGTTTCCCCAGCAGTGGGGTTTCCTTATGGCTTATCATATCACTGTTTCTGATGCAAGATTATTCTTAAGCTATGTCAAATACTTTGTGATTTGGAGGTGATTTTTAATGGATGATTGAAAGAACTGATTTGGTGGATACAGGTTGCCAGAACTAGTGAATGTCAGAGTTGGAATTATAGCTTAGTCTGATTTTAGAGGATACACTATGTTAAAATTTTATCCTCAGTTAACTAATTTGGTTCTTTGTGATCATTTTAAGAGGAAGAAAGGAGGGATGGAAAGATTGGATGGAATATAATTTTTTTTTAATTTACAAAATATTTTGTATCTTTTTCACTATTATTACTAGATGTTCACTTAAGTGACTTTATTATGCCCAAAACTTGTAAGTCAAAGTAATATGCAACACAACCTGTGTCTTTGAGGGGCAGAATAAGGGTTTTAAGAATGATTTAATGTATGTTCTTTTCTTTATACAGAGCTTATATATTTGGACTTTAAGTTGAAAAGAAAGTGTTTATTTTCTAGGTTTTTGCAAGATTGTTACTTAATTTTGTTGTTAAGATTTTATGTGTGTGATGATTTAATAGCTTTTCCTGATCCTTATAAATCCTTTTTATCCTCTGAGTCATGGAGATAAAATGACTTTTTAATGGATAGAGTTGCTGGTTTTAGCAAATTCCAGAGGTCCTACTTTAAAAAACAGTGATGGGAAACTGGTTTCTATAATAGTTAAAGTGTGTTGAAAGCTTGCTCCAAATTGATAATCATATCCTTCTGCTTAATATTTCCCTGGATTTCTATGCTGCTTGTCTTGTTAGAGACCTCATGTCTTTGTACTCTGTTATTTGTATAGATTCCTTTCTTCCCACTAACATTTTAAAGTTTTGGTTAAAGAGTTTAGAAGAAAGGTATGTCAATAAAACTGCTTTCTAAAAGTTGAAACTTATATGACTTTTTGTAAACAATTAAAATAATTTTCATCTTTAAACATGTGCTGGCATCTTCATTTATGTAGAAAAAATACTCCAACACCCAAACACAAATTTTCTGAGGCTAAAGAAAAGCAACTCTGTTTCAACAGACGGGTTCTAATTTTATTTTTTTGTTCAGACAACTCCAAAGCAAGGGATTACGTAGCGAAATTAAGACTCATTTATTGAGAAAACTTTCATTCTTTACACTGAGGTGATTGAACAGGAAGATACATGGAGGCAAAGCTATAAGTTGCAAAGTAGGACTTACTAAGTCGTAAGTTAGCCTGTCTTTCTGTTTGTTTGTCTATGAAAAACCATGACCTTAATTCTTAGTTTTAACTTCCTTAGGCTTCCAGAACCTTCAGCCTCATTGCCAAATCCTCCATCAAAGGTAAGAAGCTGTGACTAAGATATCTTTGGGGGACTTAGAATAAAGATTGTACTGGGCTCTCCATCACTATTTTTTATTTTCATCGATTCCACCTGAATGGTAAATAAAGTACCAGGAAAACCCAAGAAGAGTTGGTTTTAGCAAGGTACCCCTGTAAAAATATCAAAGGTGTATGTATAGTTAAAATTAAATATTCCTGAATTAAATTAGTTAGATCACAATTAAATTTAGTAATCACTAAGCATACTCTACATATAACTAAAACGCATTTTGCCAAATGTAATTGTCACTGGCACAAAGGTGGACAGAGAATGATTTCCATAACACAAAGAATCCTTTGAGCAAGGATGATAACTTTCTTTCTGAATTTGAAATGATTGATGAATTTATGTGTAAGCTTTCTCTGTTAGTGGAAATCTTTTCCTCATTCATTCTCAGGCTGCTACCCACAGCTCCTCTGTAGCTGGTGTGTTTATCTCCTAGATCCAGAGAATAGAGAAGCCAATCATAAACCACACCTGACTGCCAACTGCAGCATTCCTTCAGCCCAGGCCAGATCTCAGATGAGTAAACACTGCTCCAAGACAGAGAAATAAACATGCGCACCAGCTTGTCAGTGAGGTCATTTCTTAGTCGGCAAAGTAACGGATGCCTCGAGAATGTAAAATGGACATATTGCGGATGTTAAAAACTTTCCTTTTCCTTTGCACTCATTCCTTGGCCCTCAAGGTGGCCAACATGCTCAGAATTTTTATATCATTCCCTATGATGGTGCCAAAAACACTGATTAATTTTAGAAAAGGACAGAAAATTGGAAGTACAGCAGTGTTAGTTTGGAGCCATGTTCAGCAGGTTTTCAAAGAAAGTGCATTTTTCACTCTCTTGGAGAATAGCACTGAGCAGAAGTCAGTTGCTGGGAGATCTCAGAAGGACTGTTCTAGGCCAGACCCGTGCTTCTTTCATTCCAGTAGTTAATCTCTGACAGTAGCTCTAGAGGACCTACAGAGGCATAGTTGTCTTGCTGAAACTAAGAGGGTAGGTTCTCTGAGATTGTTTCTTATTTTTCTTCATCCAAAAATTAAGCAGATTTCCTCCCACCACCCCGCCCCCGGCGCCAATATCTGTCTTCCTTAGTAACTTAGAGATCATTCACGAGTTGATCTAAACCTATTCTTGAAAGCTTTAGCCTTGAGTACATTTTGGAGTAATGCGTTTCGTAAGTTTATTCTCCTCTGCTCCTGATTTCTGTTTTCTTATTTTAATTTTCAGAATTTAAGTTGTTTGTGACTTCATCGTTTATGATTTAGATCAGGGATCAGCAAACCTTTTCTTCTAAAGCCGGATAATAAATATTTTAGGTTCCATGAAGCAGATGGACTCTGTTGCAACTACTCAACTCTGCTGTTGTATTGTGAAAACAGCCACAGATAATACATAAACGAGCGAGCATGGCTGTGTTCCAGTAAAACTTCATTTATAAAAGCAGGCAGCCAGCTGGATTTGGCCCCTGGGCCATCATTTGCCAAGCCCTGATTTTGATTTTGGCGTCTTTCTCTTTCTAAACTCCAGCTTTGTCTCCTATAGTATTTGAGTTGCCTTTCGAGGTCTTCTACTTTGTGTCTTTCTGGGGTTCTCATGTACACATTCCAGATGATACTGGATGATGTACCATCATTTAAACAAGTGTAGCACATATCTTCTGCTAGCTTTCCTGTCTGTATCCAGGATTTGATTGATTTTTACAGTAATATAGTTGATTGTTTCCAGGAAATAATTCCAGTAGCCATTAAGCATCTTTGTATCTATGTTGTAATCGATAGTGTGGAGCCTGTCATCCTTAATAGGTTTTATATTATTTTCCTTTACTATCATATGTCTGCCTTTGTTGAAACTCAGCTTCCAACCCTCACCCGCTCCAGTCTTTTCAATTTGTCACTGTCAGCCAGCAGAGCTGAATGCAACCAGTGGGTTTGGAGATGTTCCTGAGTTCCTTCTTGCAAATCATTTATAAGACCTTTACTTAATATTTTCTGTGGTACTCTGCAGTTTGTTCTCTTTCCAGAACTGTGTTCGTTTAGTCATAACCTTTGTTACTGTCTTTCCGAGCCACTCTTCTGCTGAAACAATTTCCCAAATCCATGGCGATTCGGTCTTTCAAATAACAAAAATTTTTAGCAAATGCTGCAGTCGTCTTTTTTCCCAATATATTCAACAGTACACTGGGAATAACATAAAAACTGTTGTTTTATGCAGAGGCTACCACAATCTTTTTTTTAAAACACTTATAACTGTTATCTTGTTTGGTTGTGAGCTATTAAAACATCTGAACAAGTCATTTCTATTATTAAACATTTTGTGTCCACACAAAAGTACCTTTCATCTTAAATTCTTGTCATGAATACTTTTTATTTGAATTATCAGTGAAAAGTAAACCTCACCAGTCAGTGGCACATACTTGTAGTCTTAGCTACTCAGGAGGCTGAAGCAGAAGGTCTCTTAAGCCTAGGAGTTCATGGCTATAGTATGTGATGGTTGCAACTATGAATAGCCACTGCACTCCAGCCTGGGCAACACAGTGAAAACCTGTCTCTAAAGAAAAAAAGGGAATAATGTGTAAGTGTTTATAATGACATCTTCACTGCTCTAATGTTGCCGAAAATGAAGTTATCAGATGAACCTGTGTTAGGAACATTTTGCCGCAGAGAAGGAACACGGCATCCTCATAACTTGTTTTGAAAATGTTTTGGCCTTCAGCCTTATTAGCTGTGAGTTCCATTCTCTTAGCTGAAGATACCTTTCTGGTAAAAAAATATATATCAGCTAAACACCCTTTGCTGTCTTAATTTAAATAGAAACATGTATTTTTTTCTTTTCTTTTTTTGAGACAGAGTCTCGCTGTGTCATCTAGGCTGGAGTACAGTAGCTCAATCTCAGCTCACAGCAGCCTCTGCTTCTCAGATTCAAGCAATTCTCGTGCCTTAGTCTCCTGAGTAGCTAGGACTATAGGTACATGCCACCATGCGCAGCTAATTTTTGTACTTTTATTAGAGATGGGGTTTCACCATGTTGGCCAGGCAGGTCTCGAACTCCTGGTCTCGGGTAATCTCCCCTCCTCGGCCTTCCAAAGTGCTGGGATTACAGTTGTGAGTCACTGCACCAAGCCAAAACACATATTCTTAACAAAGTTGCAAGTATACATTCACTTGGTGTTGATAGCTGGTTTATTTGTGATGGACTAGTCTTTTTCTTTCAATGATTCATTTGCGAGAGGTTGCTGTGTGGCTAAGAGAAGGTTTTCCTACAGTATGTGGAGGGTTAGCCTCTGTTTTTTACGGTAAACAATTTCAAGATATGGTATCCTCTTGGGTTATAGGATAAAACACCATGGGCTTTGGAATATTTCAGCACCAACTCTGCCAATGCTTTGTTTAGCAAAAGCAGGGGCATGAAGAATGCAGTTAGGAACAAATCTATTTCCTAGGATGGATCCATGTTGAGCCTTGTCAACCTGGTATCTCCACAAACAGCCTGAATATTATAAAAACCTGGATTGTGATCACCATGCAGTCAGTTCTCATGTTCAACAGCAAGACTTGCTTGCCCTGCCATTGTACCTTTTACATAATAAGCATGGTGTGGTTTCTTCTGTATTGTGATCATTAAGGCCAAAGTCTAGTCCTTGACAAGATTCTCACATTCACTGGTGTAAAATGTTCATGTGAAAGAAGAAAATGTTCAGTAAAGATCTGAGGTAGTTGCATTGAGCCTCCTGGAAAGAACACTGTATCAAAATGGAAATCTTGGCCCAAGTCCTCTACGTGGTGGCCTTAAGCTATTCACTTAGCCTCTCTGTGCTTCCCTCTCTTGCTGGCTGCTTGCTTATGCAAGTTTGTTCTTGCATGGATAAAGTAAGATAATTGAATTGAAAGGAGGGAAGGAGATGAAGCTGTACAAAGATGATGATAATAGCATAATGTTGTCCCTTCATTAAGTGGACAATAAACTGACCCAGGAGGTAAATGAAATAGGGGTTCTGGCTGGACACCTAGCCCCACTTGGAGACTATTCTCATTTTGACTTCTGTGTCTCGCATGCACCTCGTAATTAGCAATCCCCTCATGCCTACCATACCTGGTACCTACAAAGCCTGTGTTTGCTAGACCAGCTAAGAGGCCATGTACTTATCCAATCATATCCACCATCACCAAGGCTGCTGCTTAGAAGTGATGTGTGGGTGTGGCTTGATTCCCTTGAAGATTGGCAAAATACAAAGGAGCCTGTAAAAAGTAAGCCCTTTGCTGGGTCTGCTGTTCGCCTCTGTGGAGGTCTAAATTCTATGTGTTGGGTTTTTTTTAATGGATCGATGTTAGTGTCAAGGTGACATTTGACACCACTTCACTGCTCTAATGTTGCAGAAAATAAAGTTATCAGATGAGCCTGTAGAAGCAAAAGAAGATTACACTAAGTTTAATGCTAAAGATTTGAAGACTGAAAAGGTATGTGGGTTCAGGTGTAGCGACGAACCGTTCATACCCAGCGGATGATATGCATGAATACATGGGGAACAGTTAGCTGCACGCCTCATTGTGATGACAGTTTTGACCAGGAAGAACTATTAACTTGCATTTCTGTGACTTAATAATTATTCCAGAATTGTGTATGGCAGTGAAAGTGTTAAGCAACTAAGACTTTTTATGAGTCAAAAAAAACCAATATACTACTTACCGAGAGTGTGCCTACATTTTTCTATGTATTCATAGAGTGGGAGGGCAGGAAAGGAGGGAGGAAGCTCCACAGGTAATTTTTTGTCAACCCTGCTGCCCAGAAGTACAAATTATGATGATTATAAAAATTATTAATAATTTCACCATTCAGCATTCACCTTGGCAAATGGCATTTTGGTAGCATTCCGTACTGAGTTTTATACCTGCATTATAAATACATAAGTGATCTTTGACTTTGGCATTATAATACTCAGTTCTGCCCTTTTTATTTAGCATTAAATTGTGAAAATGTTCACATATCATTAAATATTCTTTGAAAAATTATTCGTGGTTTTATGATATTCAGTCATGGGTGTCAGTTTCACCAGATGGAACATAATTTAATCATGTCCCTATGTTTGGACATATAGGTTACTTCCGATTTTTCTGTATTTTGTTTTATTAAAGTAATAGACATTCTTATTTACAGTCTTCATCTCTCATGATTTCATTAGACACAATTTTGAACTAAGAGTAAGAGTTTTGAGAACATGAACTCTTTCATAATTGAAATTATAAAGTGCTTTTCAAAAATGTAGAAATTTGTGCTCCCAAACATGATCTCCAGTGAGTTTTTATCTTGCATTTTTGATGGCATTGAGTATTATTTTTATTCTTGAACATTTTTGCCTGTCAGTTAGGCTAGAAAGGTTGTTTTTCCAAATGCCTATGGCCCATTTGCATTTTTGCAAATTGTTGGTTCATGTCCCTTGCCTGTTTTGATGTTGAGATAGTAATGTTTCACGGCTCCAGTGGTGCAATCCGTTAGCACGCGGTACTTATAAGACAGTGCACCTGTGAAATAGTAGTGTTTCTCTGTTGCTTTGTATGAGCTCTTTCTAAATTAAGGCTATTAACACTTTTCATGAAATACAGGCTACAAACTTGTTTTAACCTTTTCATTTGATTTTTTAACAGTGTTAAATTTTTCTGAGGATTAAGTACAGAAATTGTTTTTCTTTATGATTTTTCCATTGTTTTTATGCTTAGAAAGGCCTTGCCCATCTCAAGATAAGTTAACTTTCACTTTGATTTTGACAATACTGACTCCCCTCACAGTTTAATGTTTTTTAGAACTGTTATTCTTCAATCACTATGTAATTTATTTGAGCATATGATATTAGGGATAGTTCAATTTAAGGTCTGCCCAAATAGCTAGTTATCTCGATGCTGTGTCAACAGGGATACTGTGAGTTTCTCTGAGAGAAGTCTTTGTGCCCTGCCCTTCTGTGGGAGTACCACTTACGTATCTACTTGGGCACAACAGAGGATTGAACCAGGATGTCTTAAATGCACGAGATAAGTCTGAAACAGACTATCACTTTGCACCATCAGTCAAAAAGAAGCCTACTAAATTATAAGTGACAGAATGTGAAAAGCGGAATTGTGGGAATCATATACAGTGCCTCTAAAAAATACTTTGGCAATGACTTTGTCTTACAGTTCCCAGGGAGACAGATGATTTTTTGTTTTTTGATTCCCATCATTTATGCTTCTTCTGAACAAGTTGTGATACAACTGCATCAGAGTTAAATCAGCTGCTGTTTACCTTCTCCAATTGCTTTTCATAGGACATAGAAGAAAAAAAATTCAGTGACCAGAGAGAGATAGAAATATAAAGGGCAGAGTTATTCGGAGTCAGCTTTTTGGAAAGTATTTCTTTGTTGGAGGAAAAATTAGGCAGTTATCCTGCTGGTCTGGGATGCTTTGCAACACAGGTCATCTTTTGACTATCATGGGGTTGTCCTTGGTTTCCCATGGAGCAAATGAATAAAATCAGATGGTAAATTGGTGTGAATTATTCATCATGTGGTAATACAAGGCTGTAATTCGTACCTCTGACAATTGCAGCCTGTGTCAGTTCCATTGTTTGTGCTGTTGCACTTAATGCACCCCCCAGAATTATCCACCCCCTCCCCAGTGTAAACCATTGGTTGGAACATTCTGCTGCTTAGAAGGCGGCAGTTTTGTCTTCTGCACCTTTTAACATATTCTGTCTCTTAGGTCTGAATTCTGAATAGAAATCAGAACTTTTTACTTCCTTATGAAGCATGTTAGTGGGGGATGCTTACCTTCTTTAATGAACCGTGAGACATGCAGTCTTCTTTGATTTGCATGTGTGATTAATAAATGTTAAATTCATAACAATTTTTCTCTCTTATTTTCATTAACAGAAAAATAGCAAAATGACTGCAGCTCAGAAGGCTTTGGCTAAAGTTGACAAGAGTGGAATGAAAAGTATTGATACCTTTTTTGGTGTAAAGAATAAAAAAAAAATTGGAAAGGTTTGAAACTTCGAAAATAAAATCTAGCCAAAATCTTTGCATGTTACATATTTCATTTTTGTCCTTCCTGACCCTTAATCACCTTTGATGGAGGGAAGGAAGAGGCCGATTTCATGTTCTCGTAAACATTTCTTTGCATTTGGTTTTTGTGTTCCTGAATAAGATATGGGAAGGTAATTGTGTAACTTCACGGCTGTGGCCTTTTGGAGTCTCATCTGATGTAATGAAAAGTAATCACGTGAAGAGAATTAACATCTAGCATCATGATTTCCTCAATAAACTGACCTGTGACAACCTTAGAGTGTCTGTTTTTTTAATGCAACTTTGCACCCAGTAGATGTAATAATAATATTTTCAATATACTGAGAGAAACAGGATTACAAAACTGTCAGGTAAATTATTCGTTTTAAAAAGGGTTTAGTTTTTGGTAATTCTTTTTCCAGTGGTGTTTTTCTGTCTTTATGAGTACATGTTGTTTGTAGAGAATAGAGAAAATAATAAAATAAGAATTTCAGTCTCCCATTTCTTCATTACCCGGAGTTAATATATTTTCTTATAATAATAATTTTTACAAAGGAATTATAGTGACTTTATAACCGTTTTTTTCAACTTTTATTTTAGACTCAGGGTACATATGCAGGTTTGTTACAGAGCGATACCGTGTGATGTTGAGATTTGGGATGTGATTGAACCTGTCGCGGAGGTAGTGAGCATAGTACCCGATAGGTAGTTTTTCAAGCCTTGCTCCCCTCCCGCTCTCCCTCCTCTAGAAGTCCCGAGTGTCTATTGTTGCCATCTTTATGTCCATTTGGACCCAATGTTAAGCTCTTACTTATAAATGAGAACATGTGGTATTTGGTTTTCTGGGTTTTTTTTGCATTAATTCCCTCAGGATAATGGCCTCCAGCTGCATCCATGTCACTGCAAAGGGCATGATTTCATTCTCTTTTATGGCTGTGTAGTATTCCATGGTGTATATATACCATGTTTTCTTCATCCCTTCCACCGTTGATGGGCTCCTAGGTTGATCCCGCATCTTTGCTATTGTAAGGAGTGCTGTGATGAACATACAGGTGCATGTATCTTTTTGGTAGAATCATTTTCCTTTGTATGCATAGCCGATAGTGGCCAATAGTGAGTCGATTGGTAGTTCTGTTTTGAGTTCTTTGAGAAATCTCCAAACTGCTTTTCACAGCGCTGTACTAATTTACATTCTCACCAACAGTGTGTTTAAGTGTTCCCTTTTCTCTGCAGCCCTGCCAACATCAGCTGTTATTTTTTTACTTTTAAATAGTAACTGCTCTGACTGGTGGAAGATGGTATACCTCATTGTGGTTTTCATTTGCATTGCTCTGATGATTAGTGATGATGGGCATTTTAAAAATATGTTTGTGGTCACGTGTATGTCTTGTTTTGAGAAGTGTCTGTTTATGTCTTTTGCCTACTTTTTAATGGTGTTATTTGTATTTTACTTACTGATTTGTGTAAGTTCCGTATAGATTCTTGATGTTAGTCCTTTGTCAGATGCATAGTTTCTCTCATTCCGTAGGTTGTCTGTTTCCTCTGTTGATCATTTCTTTTGCTATGCAGAAACTCCTTAGTATCATTAGGCCCCCACTTGTCAATTTTTATTTTTGTTGCAATTGCTTTTGAGCACTTAATCATAAATTCTTCGCCAAGGCTGTTGTTGAGAACAGTATTTCCTGGGTTTTCTTCTAGGATTTTTATAGCTTGTGGTCTTACAGTTAAGTCTTTAATTTGTCTTGAGTTAATTTTTTGTATATGGTGATGGGTAGAAGTCCAGTTTTATTCCTCTGCATATGGCTGGTCAGTTCTCCCAGCACCAGTTATTGAACATGGAGTCTTTGCCCCATTGCTTATTTTTGTTGACTTTGCTGAAGGTCAGATAGCTATAGGTGTGTGGCTTTATTTCTGGGGGGTTCTCTTTCTCTTCCTTTGGCTTATGTGTCTGTTTTTGTATCAGTACTGTATTGTCTTGATTGCTGTAGCCTTGTGTTGTAGTTTACAGTTGGATAATGTGATGATTCTGGCTTTGTTCCTTTTGCTTAGGATTGCTTTGGTTATCCAAGCTCTTTTTGGGTTCCATATTAATTTTAGAATAGTTATTTTCTAATTGCGTGAAAAAAATCACCTTAGTTACCTTTTTATAAACATCATTTTGTGACTGTTTTCCCAGACTACTAACTGTCCTTCAAAAATATGCTTTTTTAAATGACAATATAATATTTGATTATTTGGATATTGGATTATTTAATAACCATGATCCCTGTTTGGACATTTGGATTACCTACAAATGTTCACTGTTTGAAGAATCAGATTTTAAGTAAATATTTGTCCCCATCTTTTATTATTTCCTTATAATGGATCTTTGGATGTGGGCTTATTGGATTTTCAAATATGTATTTATGGGAATATATTTCATATAAGAACGTATAGACTTTTACACTCTAACAAACAATGGGTGTGAAATCTTAATGCCACCTTGCTACCATTGGTTGTTATCTTTGGAAATAAGTGGAAAAAAGATATTTTATTGTGATTTTAGTTTGTATTTCCCTGGTTAGTAATGATTTTGAACCTTTTTTCATACTTACTAATCAATTGTCATAGAGAATTGTCTGTTTATATTTTTTGTTAAGTTATTAGGGTACCAATTTCTTTAATTGACTAAAAGTATTCCATAACTTAAGGACATTAATTTTATCTGCTGTGTTTGTTGTAAATTTCTTTTCTTGGTTTATACTTTGCCTTTAATTTTGCTTATGATTTTGACATGCAGGTGTTTTTAGTTTTTATTTAGACATATATAGATAAACTTTTCCTTCTCGTAGATACTCAGATGTTTCTTTTTACAGGAAATTTAACTAGACACTTTAATTTTCTTCCAATTTTTTAATAGTTATATTTTTGGTTTATATTTAAGTACTTAAATCATCTAGAGAATGTATAATTATGTTGAAATATGCTGTGAGGTAAAGCTGTAATTTATTTTCTCACCAGTTTAGTTTTTCATTTAATCTGTAGGATTATTTTGTCAAGTCCTAAGAGTAAGTTTCAGTGGCATTTTTATTGAGATTTTGTTAGATGCATAACTTACTTTGGGAAAACAAACATTTTTACAAACTTAAATATTCTTATTTGGGAATATAGTATATCTTGTTATTAACTCAAATCCTAAGCATACCTTTCACCAATATTTGGTTCTTCATCTTCAGTAGGTTCTAGATCTTTGTAGGAATATGTCTAGATATTTTCATTGTTATTAGTGAAGTCTGTTTTTTCCAGCTAGGTCTACCAACTGGTCATTTTGTGGTAAAGATTTACATTTTTATTTATTTATCTTTTAAATAACCAGTTTACTAAACTATTAATGGAAAATTTTTCCACTTTATTTATTTTGGGTTTCAGTACGTAATAAAGTACATAATTTAGTTTTTTAAAATTGTTACACCTCTTTTAATAGTTACACCTCTTTTATATCTTTTATATTATATTACATAGGCTAGAGTATCCAGAACAGTGTTAAAGAGTAATGATGGTCGTCTTTGTCTAATTGGTGATTTTATTGATGTGCTTTACCATTAATTCTGACCCTAGTTGTTGCTAATATGATAAAGAATATTCATCCTTTTATACTTAGTTTCCTTAGGTTTAAATTAGTAATTGGTGTTGGTTGGTATCAGATATCTTTTCAACATCTGTTGAGGTGTCTCTAAAGTTTTTACCACTATCAAACTGTACCTGAGTGTCTGTAATAAACCCTCCCTGGCAGTAGATAAAGAGTCAGTAGCATAGTGGATGGATCCTGTCTGTCTTGGCTTTTGTAAAATACAGTTTTCCATTACTTTCTATGCCTTTATTAAGGAATTTTGCAGGCATATTCATAAGCAATGCTGCTGTTTGGCTTTAGTGTTAGAATTAGGCTGCTTTCCATGTTTTCCAATGTTCTGGAAGGATTAATTTTACATTATGATGTTCTATTCCTGGAAAAATTTTAAGAATATTAGAGGTAAAGCTATCTAGCACAGGAGCCTTTTTGTTGTTGTTATAGTTTTCTTTAATCTGCAAGAATTTCTCATCCGCTCTTTGTCTTACTTGACATTTTTGAGGAGTACAGGGTAGATATTTGCTGAAATATTCCTCATTCTAATGTTTGATTTTGATTAAATTCAAGTCATACTCAGGGCATCTACAAAAGTAGTGATATGTCTCAGCACACCATGGCAGGAATCACAGTCTGTCTCAATGTCAGCGATGTTGACTTTGATCACTTGATTAAGGTTCTGCCTACAAGTTTTTCCGCTGTGAATTATTATTGATTATTTTTGTGAATAGTAAGTAATTTGTCAGTAAGTATTCTTGGACTCTGTAAGTATCCTATTTCTTATCAGATGTTTGCCTACTAGATTTAGGATCTGATGACTTTCTTTCATTTCTTTTGTATTTATCAGTTGGCATTCTTCTGTAAGGAAGAACTTTCCTTTTTCTTTGCTTTGTTTATGAATTCTTAACAGTATGGATTTATAGATTTTTATTTTATCCAGTGGACTATATTACATTATTATTATTATTAATTTTAATGGTCATATTGTTTCAGAAGAGCTAGTGGGAAACCCTTCAAGCTGACTTCTACATCTTTTGGGTATGTTTCTATCATTTAATATATTTCTACTTCTGCGACTGGATGTTTCAGGCTCTTGTAATTTCCCTGTGTAAGCCCTGAATGCATCTTTCTTTCAAGCAATCCTGGCTCTTTTCAGTGAAGAAAGGTATTTAGAAACCAAGATCTAGGCAGTAGGTATGCTCGTTGCCTTTGGTATGTCATTGCTTGGGAGCCAAAGTTAAGAAATTGTGTGTGTGTGTGTGTGTGTATGTGTGTGTGTGTGTGTGCATGTGTGTACAACGTGTACACACGCATATGTATAGTACATACTCATATCAACATTTCTAAATCTATCCATGTATCTATCAGTATCCATCTGATAATCTTGAGATAATCTCTACTTGGTCACAGTATGTTCTTTTCATATATATTATGGCTTTTTTTCCCTAATATTTTGTTAAGTGTTTTTTGTGTCTCTGTTCATGAGGGATATTGGTCTGTGGTCTTCTTTACTTGTAATAATTTTGTCTGATTTTGATGTCAGAGTAAAACTGGCCTTATAAAATGAGTTGGAAAGTACTCTTATCACCTATTTTCTAAAAGAGTTTGTGTGAGGTTGCCATTGTTTCCTTATATGTTGGGCAGAATTCACCAGTGAAGCCATTTGGGC